TCGGTTCGAGGCCCCGTCTAGCGACTCTGGAGCTCAAAACGCGTCTAGAGTTTTGGTCGCCTCCACCGGTCTTCTGGCCCACTGTGCTGCGGTCGGCGACGAAATGTGTCGAGCGTCGTTGCATTTGCATCAGAGGAAGCTGCAGCAGGAAGGAAGGCGGCGGAACGCGTGTTGCGCGTCGTTGTCTTTTTCGGTCATTTCGCAATAGGTCATAGCCGGTATTGGCGCTTCCTGGCCGGCAAGCCCTGGCCGGCAAGCCCTGGCCGTGCAAAGCCACGCCACGGGAAGTCCGCGAATGGGCACCAAATGGCGCCACGTTTTAAACGCCCTTTAATCCATTCCTGGCCGCCGGAAGCACGCTGCGGTCTGTCTGCTGCTGCTGCTTCTTCTTCTCCTTCTTCTTCTTCTCATCCTCCCTGTGTATACAGTGTGGTGAAGGTCAGTGAGCACGGATTTCTTGACCCGCGGCTGCTACACAGCCCAAAGCAGACACGACTAGACCGGCCGGCCAGACCTGCCCTGCCTTGCTCGCCGGTGATGCGTTCCGCTCAAGGACACTCACACATGCGCATGTACGTGCTCACACACACACACGGACGTGTGCCCTCTCACTTCATTGTGCGGTCGATCCGCGCAATAGGGCGATGCATTGTGGCGCGGCCTAATGGTTGCGGTGCCAAGTGCGCGCCGAAGAGTTTGGTTTCGAAAAATGGGGGTCATCCATCAAGCCCCTTTGATTCGAGCGCTCGAGGGAGGAGAGGCCGGGCTGGCCCAGCCGAAGGCAGAGAGTCGGCCCGGGAGCACTATTTGCACGTCCTCTGGCGACGCCCTCGGAGTACAGTGATGAAACGAAGCTGACAAGGCAGAGTCCACCGCCGCCGGTGCTTCAATGCTGGTAACGATGATCAAACGAAGCTGACGGAAGATATGAACACACACATCTCCCTATGCTAAAACAAAAGAGCCCTTCGCCGTATCAACACAGAACGGTGGCGGGTCAGCGCCTACGCCTCGGACTTGCACGGGAAAGTGAAGTCGGCCGCCAAGTTTCTTGTAAAAAGCCGCGAGGACGCCGCGGCGCGCGCTTCGCTTGCCGTACAAGGCACGCCGGCCGCACCGACTCGGACGTCGCAGTACACTGTCAAAAGCGGACGGCGGGGAGGGTTCCCTCGGAAACCGCCTACTGTCGAGTACTTTGCGCCAAACGCAGGGCGAGCTACAATCGAAAAGTCGGCACCTTCTACCAAAAGCTGGTTGCTACGACCGGTCACTTGCAAGAGGACGACAAACCCCAGTTTCGTTGTCCTGTGACAAGTGTCCTCTTGCAAAACGCCACCCTAGAGCACGTCTTCGTGCCGCCCGGTGCGCACGGTCACTCACGCAGGCTCAGCGTACATAGTCGTTCCCTTTTATCGTGAATTCATCCGGGGGCAGAAAGCGTTACGTCCAACGACCCTAAACAAAACGCTGGGAAAACTTTTTATTTTTTCGAAACGTGGTGGTGGAGGTGCCGATAGGCGCGGTGCATGGCTGCATGGCACGTCCAGGTCGGGTTGCCATGGCGACCGAAGAAGGGGAGGACAAGCAGGCAGGCGCCCCGAACGCGCTCAGTTCCGGGAGAAGGGAGATGAGCCCCACGGCCCGGAACACCGAAAAAAAATCTTCAGCATCTTTCATTATTCAAGTGACGAAGTAGCATTAAAATTGGATTGACAAAAAAAAAACTTACAGTTTCTGAAGGAGTACTCAGCAACAATCTAAAATGTTGACATAATAACGACGACTTAATACAACGTGTGAAAAAAAAACCATTTGTTTCCACCTTCTTTTCCGCATAAAACGATCTGTAAAAGTGCCCTGGATTGATGCAGTTTTATTATGTAATGGTAAACGTAACTTTTAAATACTTAATTTTTTTTCAAGTCACCCGGCTACCTTGCTTTTCCGAAAGCGTGAATCCCGGTTGTTGCGGTCGGCGCAACTCCCGACGGCCAGCTGGATGGGACTCGACCGATTTTCAATTTGAGCGGCGATGATGAGTTAATCGGCGGGACGAGTCGAAGGCGCTGCAAAGTTGCGCAATAGGCCGTGTACACTGTTATTAACGAAAACGGGTCTTCATTCCAGCCGGACGGGAGATGCCCCAAAATGTTGAAGTGTCGGGATGGAACGGGGACTGTGTTGTTGTTGTTGTCGTCGGTGCGAGTTCAGGGCAACGCACCTCTGCGCACGTCGATTCACTGTTGCAATCGCTACCTTGGTGCGTCTGCAATCGCCGCTGAAAATAGTCAATCGATGACGCCTGTCACTGACCGGCGGCTGCGTATGCAAATGTGGCGAACCTGAATCTCGTTCGATTTGGAGCGCAGCCGTCATTGCAAACTGAGTGCACTCAGCGGTACTCAACTTCATTGAAAACCTGGGACTGGGAGGCGAAAAAAAACGGTCTTAAAAATTGCGTCGGCTGCTCAAGTAACTGGCGTTTACCGCGTCGCTGGGGCGTGGCCCGTGCCCTGTGCGGCCCTGTGCGGTCAGGGCACTGGTTGGCTGCCCACTGCGTGCGTGCGTGTGTGTAGCACTGTAAGAGGCGAGCGTGGCGGCAAGCCGAGCGTGTCAAACACAACGCACGTGCGCGCTTACTCATCCCGACGTGTGAAAAGGGGAGAGAGAGCCGAGGGGGCGTTTGTTTGGCTTTGGCGGCCAATACCGACACCGGTTCTCGCGGGAAAAACAAGAAAAAGAGACAAAAACAGAGTTTTAACACATAAAGCCGACAAAAAAATAGGAAAAAGTATATAAAATCACATTTTTTAAAATTTCAAAAAAAAGTTGTGATAAAAATGCTAGTAAAATCAAAAATCAATGTGAAGGTATGAAATTTTGTCAGACTGAAAAACTTCTAGTAAACTGCCACCTCCTTCCTCACGTTTTTTTTTTTCAATCCCCTATCAGTGCTTGTGACAGACTGCACGTGTTGCACCCGCGCCACCGCAGGCTGCGCAGGCTTCGCTTGCCGATAGAGCGTTGCAAACCGCAGCCGATGCCGGTCACGGCCGAATCCCGGTCGCTGGATCGCTGGAATCGCGACCGGTGTGTGGGTGTGGCTCTCGTGGCGGCCCGGCCGTCTCGCTGACGGGTCCGTCCGACCGCCGCCTCGACTCGGCACGCCCCTGGCAGCTAGGCAACCCATCGGGCGCCGCAGCGCGCGAGCACCGACGACGGAGACGACCGACGAAACTGGCTCGCGCTTTTGCCGGGAAAGTTCGGAGAAACCGTCTCGGCTGTAAGTGTCGTGTCGGGAAATTCGCGCGAAAATTCTTGGACGGTCTGGATTTAGAAAACGCGTCAGGAGGAATGTCAGCGGGTCACGCTGTGGCCGGCCAGCTGAACCGCGAACCCCGCTTGAACTGGTTGAATGCGTCGTTGGATTCAATGATGAATGCGTCGCTCCGTCTCTCTCGCACCCGCAGGGGACGCCGCATGGGTGCGAGAGAGACAGTGCCGGGGCGCGCGGCGCCTCTTGAGACGCCTCACCTTTATTGGCCATTGTTGCATTCCAGGACGGGCCTGTCTAGGCGGGCCAGCAGACGTGTGCCGCATATGAGGAAGATGGAGAGAGAGAGAGAGAGAGAGAGAGAGAGAGAGAGAGAGAGAGAGAGAGAGAGAGAGAGAGAAATAGTTGCAAGCTTGCGGTGCGAGTAAAGCGTAGGCATTATTGGCAGGGAGTGTCCTTGGCCGTCAGTCGGACGGAGTCGCCCTGTCTCTCTCTCTCTCTCGCACCTCCACGGCGCCGGTCCGCGGGTGCGAGAGAGACGGCGCGTTTGACGCGTCATGACCCGGCTATTAATCCTTAACGCCGCGGGCCGCGTCACGGCGCGACTCAAGGCGACACGCGGCCAGCAGTGCGACGCGCGCGACGCGTGTCCAGCGGCCATGATTTAAATTTAACAAAGGCCCCTTTCATAAATCACGGGGCCTTCGAACAACGACGCGCACCAAAAATGAGACTGCAAAATTTTCCCAAAATTTGGACATTGTCATCAAAAAAGGAAAATATTTTGGTTTTGTTTATATTTATTTTTTAAGTTTGTTAAGTTTAAGTTTAAGAAAAAAAAATTTACAACGTGCACCGGAAATGAGACTGCAAAATTTGCAAAATTTTGACATTGTAAAAAAATGCAAACATTTTTTTAATTTTACAAAAGGTCTGTTTAGTTTAGCCTTTTTAAAAAATTACTACAGGTGATTACAGTGAAAGAGAATGTTAGCTCGGTGTGCTCGTGCCCGCGGCGTGCCGGCGTGGCGGTACCGGCCGGCATGGCGTCCTCAAGCGGCCGAATTTGGACAGCCCTCATTAGGAGCAACGAGCGGCGCCACTATTTTCACACGCTCTCTGTCTCTGTCGCACCCGCGGGGCGGCGCGCAGTCTCTGTCTCTCTGTCTCGCCCGAAGGCGCGCCAAAGCAACACACAGCCTTCTGCTTGACCACGATTCTCACCGAGAAGAAAGTCAAGGTGATCGAGAAGCTCTCATCGCGTCAAAGGCAGTGCAGGGAGTTCTCTCGCTTGTTCGAGTGCGAAGTGCGAAAGGCCGTTGCTTTGCCGCCGAGTTGAGTGGCCACTGTCTCCGTCGACCTGGTAGTTTCCTCGCGCAAAACGCGAGGTATTCATATTTCGCTCGGACTGCCGTGCATAGACTAGCACGATCAGGGCAGTTTAGTTTTCATGCGGCACTACGCGTGCCTCAGAATGCAGCCTGGTGTGTGCGAGGTTTACGGTGGATGGAATTAACCTCATGCAAGTTGCGACTCCCTTGCTTTTAAAGTGCTGCTGCACTGTAAGGTGTTTTTTTTTAAACTCGCGTCTGCAATTAGCACATAATGCGCCACGCAGTTCCCATAGCGGACACAGAAGGCCATTTCCCTTGCTGGGCGTGAGTTGATGCGTTTGGCTCGAGTTTTGCTGCGTTAATTTTAACCTGTTTTTCTCTCCTTGTTCCAGGACCGAAGTCTTCGTGGATTCGAGCAAGCTGGACCGCTAAAAGAGCAATACTTGCAGGTAAACACTGCGAACAGTACACTGTAAGGCCAAAGACTTGCACTTCCCGCGATTTTCCAAATTATTTTCAACAGAATATTGCACTGACACGCATGAATTGCAATGTGTGTGGCGGAAACGGAACTGGATCCGCCGCGCCGAACCGACTATTAAACGCCAGATTCATATTGGGATGGGCGCAAGCATTGCGTGTCCGGTGCACCACTGCAAAAAAATCCAAGTTCGAGTTCATTGGCACTGCGCGCTGAGCTGGCTATCATCATCTGCCTGCATGCTAGGCGCATCGCGTCTCGGCGAAAAAAAGCTGAGCTACGTAAAAACAACAAGATGGGCCCGTTGTTGTTTGTTTATGTTTTTTCGTGGCGTCGCGCCCCGTTGCAGCCAAGGGGTCCGAACCGCCAGATGGTGGGATGACGCCTCGGACTGGACGGATCTAGCAGAGCACTGTCTGAAAAAACAGGTAGTAAATCGTCTCGTCTTTAGCAGTGGAGTACAGTCGAGAAGGGAACGGCGAAGTGACGTCATTGGATCTAATTCATTCAATTCGGTCGCCATGTGGACCTGCTGTCGCGGCTGGAGTGAGTGAGTGAGTGGACCCTGCGATTGAGACCCGAACCTTCCAAGCTAAATTTTGAGACGACTATCCCTGGCCAAATAATTGTAAGCCAAACTCGTGGGACGTCTGGAAAAAAAACGCACTCGTCGTGAATTAAAATCATCATCGTTCTATTGTGGATGGTAAAAAAGGAAATAATGAGGATAGGTCGCGAAATAACTATGCAGCGGGTGATTTGTTTACCTGTAGTTTCCTCGTAAGTTGTTTGCGGACCGGGACGTATGAGGTAACCGAGAAATTGTTGATTGTTTCATATTGACTGGGTGCGTTGCATCAGCGAGCGCTCCGCCCGTCGTCGGTGCGAGCTTTCTACAAAATTCTGACAGTTACATGGGCGGGCGAGCCGACCACGCTTCCTGCCAGAGTTTGTCCAGTTATCGAATGTGTGATGCCGTCCCGATAGAGATGCCGCGCGGCGCGGTGCCCACCACTCCACCCGTAATTCTTTTTTCCACTCCTTTTCGTTCAATTGCCGCGCACTAATGGTGTGCCGGAGAAAGTCCAGCGGCTGGGAACGGACTAAATGTGAAACTGGAACTGGAGTGTCAGCGGGCCGCGGCGGGCTGGCCAGGGGCGCCAGGGGCTGGCTCGCTGCGTCAACAGGTGGCGGTGATGAGCGCCATTGTTGCAAGGCGGTGGCCAGCGGCACGCCACTGCCAGCGGCACGGTGCGCGCGTCGCGGACAACTTGGCCAAAAACTAAAAGCCAGCTCTGCAAAAACGAAAAGTGTCTGTCTCTCGGAAACGGTGCGCGTTACGAGTGTCATGCACGGGACGACTTGGTTTCCAAATTCGATTTTCTCGTCTTGCCGTAGGCGGGAAGCTCGTAACTGGAGCCGTTGGCGAGTTAAGGGGGAAGGGAGCGCCTGGGAAGGCGGGCCGGCCCGCCGAACAGCGGTGCACTGCGGTGCGGCCTACCCCGGACTTCACAGGCGCCTGCAGCCAAACTCAGTGCAATCCAGTGGCAATCCAGTTGCAATCCTCTTGCAATCCTGTCGCAGGGCCATGCGTCTGAATCGCTACCCAGCCGGGGACGCCACCATGTACGCGTCGTGCCCCGTGGTCGCGGACCCCCCGAACGGCTCTGCCTTGGGCCCTGCCTTGGGCTCGGCCCCCAGCACGGCGGCCAGCTCCAGGCCGCGCTCCCACAAGAAGGGGCGGCCGCCACCCCTCAGCCTGCACCCGCAGTACGAGTCCTGCCAGGACATCATGAGTCGCAGCCGCTTCTCGTCCGGTAAGACAACAAGATTTCATGTTTAAAAAAATAAATTTAAATAAGAAAACCTTTTAAGAAACGTTTAATTATTTTAAGAAATTGCATTTTTTGAAAACTAATTCTGTTTTTTAAAAACAAATTTAATTTTTCTAAAACAAAAAATTTAACTTTTCAAAACCAAATTTAATTTTTTAAAAAAGTTTTAAAAAAATTGAATTTTTTTCGGAAATTTAAAATTGTATCCATTTTTTAGGAGGGTCGTGCGGTGACTGCGGCGCCGTGGACTCAGCGGGCTGCACCGACGCGTCCAGCAGCACGGGCGCCTCCAGCACCTCCAGCGGCAGTGACACGGACTACTGCAGCGCGGCGCAGCTCCAGCGAGGTGGGTACACTCTTAAAGCCTCCCGGCCTGCCGGGGCCGGGCGGTGAGCTCACCGCGCCTAAAGCGAGCGCCGCGCAGTGTACAGTGTTCAGCCCGTACAGTCGCGCAGTTGGTACTCTGCGAAAAAGGAAGAGGACGAGAAAGCGGCCTGGCCGAGGGCCGGCCTTGGGGGTCACGCCCTTGACTGTGAACGGCGTCCAGCCGGCAGTGACCGCGCGCTATCTCCCTGCCTCCGCCTCTCTCGCGCCCCAACGGAGAGCGCCTCGAGTGCGACAGAGACAGAGCCGCCCCGTTCGGAAGCTGTCTGCCGAGGGGAGGAGATAGGTGGGGCTTTATTCGCAGATTCTCCTTTATCGCGTGTTTGTCGCGGGCTGTCTCTCTCGCACCCCCGTGGGACACCCCGAGTGTGCGAGTGAGACGCAGCCTGCAGTAGGGGTGTGCCAAACAGGCGCTTGCTTTTTCGTTTTTCGGACAGCTTGTATCGGTGCGAGAGAAAAAGACCCTGCTGGTGCCCCACACGTGGAGGCGCGACTAGTCGCTCCACGAGCTTGGCATTGCCAGAGACACGCGCGCGCCAAGCGGCGGCAAAACTCGTTCCAGAAAAAATAAATTTCTGCACCGAAAAATATCTTTTGCACTTTTTGTCCGCTGCCATAATGAACGCAACGGGCGCGAAATTTCTCAAGCCTTTATCATTATTTACCAGACCTCGCATGCAGATAACTTAGCTTTGACGCCCAAAATTTTAAATTGTTTTTCAATTATTTTTTTTTCAAACGTCGTGCACACGTGTGTTATGGTTTGACGAGCGGAAAACTCGCATCGTCGTCGTCGTCGTCGAGGCCTCACGGCGACAACAGCGACGCCACGCGGCGCCGCCGTGAGTCATTTATTGCTTGAGGTGTTCGCCAGTCGCCTAATACATTCCGACACACACACAGCCAGACAGAGCAATGCAAAATTTCACCAGGGCACCCATACGTTAATCAATGGCTGTTCGCGGACTCACACGCACGTTGTTAGCGCTCTCTCTCTCTCTCTCTGAATGCACCTGACCAAATGAGTCCGCGCAGGGTCGCGCCTTGTCGCGGGAAAGCGAAAAGAAGGTGCCGTCCCGAGCGTCGCGGGAGGAGGTTATCAATGCTCGCGCTGCGATATCGGCGTGTGTGTGTGTGCGTGTGTGTGATAGTGGCGAGGCGGTTCGCCGTGCTCACGCCCAGTCGTATTGCGGCCGTGGCGCCCCGCGCACCGCCCAGCCAGGCCGCCGTGTGTCTGTGACTGTCGTCTGCTGAGCGCCGCCGCGACGCCAGCAGACGGCCGCGACGGTGTTGACAGTGTGTCAGCGCCGCGGCGCGCAAAAGGTGTGGTGTCAGTGTCGGGGATGTCAGCAGCGCACGCCATGTGCGACTGCTGCGAAGAGTTGCCCGCGGTGCCCGCCATGCCGGCCATGCCCGCGGTGCCCGCCATGCCGGCCATGCCCGCGGTGCCCGCCATGCCCGCCATGCCCGCCATGCCCGCGGTGCCCGCCGCCCCCACGGCGCTCCGCCTCTCCGCCCTGTCGGCCAGGCACGGCGGGGTGCCGCTCGTCTTCGACTTCTCGCCGCCACCCTCGCCCGGCGTCTGCGTGTGCACGCCACTGCCCGCAGGTACGGCGGACCGACAGACAGACGGACAGACAGACAGACAGACAGACAGACCGACGCCGCGCGGAAGCTGCGCCCAATGTGCAAATCCGCGATCGCGTCATGCTCTGAGAAAACCTTACAAACTATTTAAGGCCTTACAAAGAGTAGCATGTTATAACAAAGTATTTTGAGCATACGTAAGCTCGCAAAGAAAATGCTTCGTAATTTAGGAACTAATTATTCGTGTAACAAAGTAAATTAGTTTGTACTATGTATGCTAAAAGTACTTCGTAGGTTTTAAGCGTGTGTAGGGCCCAGCCAACCGTCTGTCGTGTGCTGTCGTGCACTGTAAAAAGCTATGCTGCACTCGAATAATATGGGCCAACTTTGACTCTCTTCCTCCCGTTATGATCTCACGGAGAGAGAGAGAGAGAGAGAGAGAGAGAGAGAGAGAGAGAGAGAGAGAGCGTCCCGGTATCCAACGGTTATCGGCTGACCTGTGCGGTGACACGCGTGAGGCGTGGGGAGGCCGAGGCCTGGTCGCGGCCTGGGCTGAGGCTGCCTGGTCCTTATCAACACCGCATCACGCGTGGCCCGGCTGCACCTGACGTCTGGTGACCCCGAAATCCCGAAATCCGCTGCCGGCCCTCGGAAGAGCGGCGTGCTTTCGGGGGGCATCGGAGGGTCTGTCTCCAGCCAGGCGCTGGGAAGCCGCCTGGTCTCTGAGGCAGAGGCGCCCGCTTTCGGCTCGTTCTGCGACGACGGAAACGAAACGGAGCGGCCACCGCGGAGTGTGTGCGGTGACGAGCTGCCGGGCCAAAGTCCCACCAGGTGCTAACATGAGCATACCGCACCAGACTGCAAGGCCTGCCTGCCTGTAAGGCCCAGGGAAAACACACGAGACGTTTTGGGAAGCGCGACCCGCCGGCGGGTCCCTTCTGCACGTGTGTGTGTGTGTGTGTGTGTGCATAGGACGCAGACGCTGCCCTGTCTCTCTCGCACCCCTTCGGGGCTCGGCGGGAGTGCGAGAGAGACGGCCTGTCAATAACCTCCGTCTGTCTCTTCCTCTCTCCAGCGGCCACGGTGACGGTGGCGTCCACGGAGCCCCTCCCCGTCGACCTGGAGGACAGCGGCGACTCCGGCTGTCCAGCCTGCCCGTGTCCGAGCCCGAGCGCCAGCAGGTGGACAGTTTCTTCCGCGGCCTCAAGACCCAGGTGTTCGTGTGCGGGTCGCTGACCAACCTCTACCTGGGCTCCACGGCGCAGGAGGGCGCCTGGGAGCTGCGCTACACCGGCATCCCCGTCGTGCTGCTGGACACCGGCGAGGCCAGGGCGCGCAACAAGCGGCGCATCCAGGTGGGTGGAGGCCTCGGTGGAGGCGGCAGAAATCCGGACGTGTTTCGAGCTCCGGCGTCGCTAAACGGGACTCGAACCGAACGTGTGACCCTACCAAGGAACGTGGATTCCTCGTTCGGAGAGCAATCCATTGGTGGGGTCACACGTTCGGTTGGAGCAGTTTCGACCAACTCGGCAACTTGGCGCTACTTGAACCCTGCCCCTGCCTGTCCGCAGATCCTCCTGGCGGAGCGGGGCTCCTGCTTCACGCTGTGGCAGGACACGATCGACAACCTGTCCTCGTACCGGGAGGCCGGCCCCGCCTTCCACACCATGTGCCTGTCCAGCGACCACTCCACCCTGGTGGGGCTGAGCTTCGACTGCCCGCAGGCGGCCCAGCAGCTCTGGGACCACATCGAGCGGCTCACGTCGTGCCCGGAGAACATCAGCCTGTCCGGCCCGGGCGCCAGGGGCCGCGGACGCAAGTCGCCCAGGAAGCCCCCCAAGGCCAAGCCCGTGCCCCTGCCCAGCAAGGCGCACATCTCGCAGCCCTGCTGCTTCCAGGTACGTGTCTCCACAACAACGTCCAAATTTTTTTAAAAAAATAAAAAGTTGCGAGTATTTGAACCCACGGACTGACGCTCGCCCTCTCTGTCCGACAGCACGTGACCAGTGTGGACCGCAAGGACCGCGACCGGTACTTCTCGCTGCAGACGCTCGTCCCCGCGCTGGCCGAGATCGAGAAGGCCAAGGTCGTGCCCAACGCGTCATAGGCGTCCGTCCGTCGGCGAACTCCGCTTGGCGTGGCCGAGTCGATGACGTCACCGTCGAGGCCGTGTCCGAGGCCGGGGTGTTGGAGGCAGGCAACACGCCCCGCATCGCATCTGTGATACTCAGCACGTGTGCCGACTACACTGCCAGTAGTCGTGCTCACCTCGTCTGTTTTCTTTTTACTGTTTTTGTTTTCATTTGAACCCGTTGATTTGAGTGTACATGTTTTATTTTTGTATGGACTTGTTTTATGCGTTTTCGAAGAGGCGGTTGCGTTTTGCACGGTTTGCGATCTGGTGGCGCCTGGCCGGTCAGTGCACCGTAAGGGTCTGGCGCGGTGGAGACAGGCAGAGGACGTTGGGGTGTCGCCTCGCCTTGTCGCACCTCCGACGCTCCTCCAGGGCTATCGCACAGCCTATCTCTCTCTGAGTCATGCCACCGGATACAGGCTTATCTGCTCCACCCACCGTGCAGTGTTAATAACCTCTTTGCTGAATCGGGCCGTCCATTGATTCTGTCACCGAATCGAACCGGTTCGCCATGAGCCAACTGGACGAAAGTTTCAACTTGAGGTGTCTGTGTCTCCAAAACGGTGACCGTTGGGAGCGTCATGCGTGAGGAAAATTTGTTTTTGAATCCGGTTTACTATTCTAAGAACAGCGCACTTGATACTCACCGTTTTCAAGATAGGAATACTTCAGATTTCGATTTTTGTTAAGTTGGCTGCACTGGCGCGGCATGACTGGCTGGGGTTCCCCTGGACGCCAGATTCAGCCTTATATCGTCATCGAAAACTGTCGGTCACATCGGGCTTGAACTCTGAATCGTGAACTCGTATCTTCGGAAAGCATTATTGAGACTGTAACTTCTATGTTTAGATTCGGTAGGTTGGTAAGTCTAGGTTTTATTTTCTTCTGAAGTCTATATTGAAGCACTAGTCATTTGTCATACTGTGAGAAGACAGTCTCATGTGAGATGTAAATATATCTGTAGTTAGACACATCGGAGCCCCCATCAAGTGCTACTAACATAACTTTGTGTAATTTTATTGAGACATATTTTGATTTTTCTGGAATGTTTTTCCATGTTTTCTTCGTCTGTTTTTATCTGTCATGGACATTTATATCAGGAAAGCTGCTGAATTCATCTTGTTTACAGAGTACTGAATATATTTTATAGTGTACATTGTATATTTTATCTTTACCATATGTCATCTGGCTGATATTGTATTAAGTTCTTTTTATCATAAATAATGAAATATTTTCTAAATTGAGATTCTTTTACCGTAGTTAGCAGATCCATTAATTTATTTTTATCTTAGGATTGTACATAATCAGTATTACATTTATTTCATGTTTACTGTAGAATGTAGTGCTTCCTTCTTGTATGCCTTTGCTCTCTTAAGCGAGAGCTATGCATGTGAAATAGGGTGGGCCGTGAAACACGATTGTTCGATATCGCAAACGTAATAGCGCGCCAAAGTGGCTTCATGGCATTACAAACTCAACGCGATCTGGGGCAGGTCTGTAACTTAAAGCTTGACCCTCGCGCATCGACGTTGAAAATTCGAAAATTCGACTTTTACGGGTTTTTCTAAAAACATCCATAGAAACTGAACCAGATGTCCAAATGATACTTGCGAGACGGAAATGGAAACGTCTGATCATGCTTTATCAGTTTAAGACCACCGGGACCCTCTCCGAGCAGTAGGGGACCGATGGGAGAAAATTACAAAATTACAATTTTTTTCCGTTTTTTACAAAATGCAAAAATTGCCTTCAGGGTTTGATACGGCCATCCTGACGTCACCGTACCCGAACCATACCCCGGATCATCTTCTCTAAGGGCCCCTTTCCCGTTTTAAGTGCACGGGGTACTCCGGGATCCGTTCACACGTTAGGATTTGGACGCCATAAACACATGTTTTACTAAAAATGCAAATTATCGGTACTTAGGGCACTCGTCTCGTCCGTATGAACTGTAGTGACTCAAAATCGATTACTAGATGGTGTCTTTGCGTCACAGGCACCTACAACCTATGCGATGGATAAGAATAACCTGTATACGTGCAGCGACCTTCTGTCGTTAATCCAGACGAGCCAAATACGTTTTAACTCTAGATTAACGAGATTTACAGCGTAAATAGCGTTCTAAAGGTCTCTTCGTCCGATTGTCTATATACTGGTGGGTTCCTGCGACGCAAAGACACCATCTAGTAATCGATTCTGAGTCACTGCAGTTCATACGGACGAGACGAGTGCCCTACAGTGCCCTGAGTACCGATAATTTGCATTTTTAGTAAAACATGTGTTTTTGGCGCCCAAATCCTAACGTGTGAACGGATCCCGGAGTACCCCTTGCGCTTAAAACGGGAAAGGGGCCCTTAGAGAAGATGATTCGGGGTATGGTTCGGGTACGGTGACGTCAGGATGGCCGTATCAAACCCTGAAGGCAATTTTTGCATTTTGTAAAAAACGGAAAAAAATTGTAATTTTGTAATTTTCTCCCATCGGTCCCCTACTGCTCGGAGAGGGTCCCGGTGGTCTTAAACTGATAAAGCATGATCAGACGTGTCCATTTCCGTCTCGCAAACATCATTTGGACATCTGGTTCAGTTTCTATGGATGTTTTTAGAAAAACCCGTAAAAGTCGAATTTTCGAATTTTCAACGTCGATGCGCGAGGGTCAAGCTTTAAGTTACAGACCTGCCCCAGATCGCGTTGAGTTTGTATTGCCATGAAGTAACTTTGGCGCGCTATTACGTTTGCGATATCGAAAAATCGTGTTTCACGGCCCACCCTAATGTGAAAGCCTCATGTACATTTTCGACGTTATTCCATTAAATGAAATACATGTAAATACGGTACGTTTTGTTTCTTATTTTACCATCGTAGCGTGGAAGTATAACTCAAGACCGTGGTGAAAGCGACAACGAGGGCGACAACGACAACAATCTCAAACCTGTGGTGGTAATACAAGAGTCGCTTAAAGTGCACATGCTGCACTTTAAGTTTGGAAGAGTTTAGAAATCGTTGCAGTCACGCCTCCTTCCTGAGAGGTCCGGCCTCTCCTTCCAGTGGTGGATATACTCCACACGGCGACGCTGTCGCCGGAGATACCCCGTGCAGCGCGCAGCGCGTGGAGTAGAGACGCGGTCGCACCCAGCTCTGCCTCTGCAGCCGCTCCTCGTCAAACCCGAGACGACATGCAACTGGCCCGAACTGGTCTTTCTGATGGATTCACAAAAGAGACGTGCAAGAATGCGCTACTTGGCGAAACCAGACCGTTCTTCTGCGCCAGTTGAACTGAACGCCCCGCGCTGTCGACGCTTGCTACTGAACCGTCGCCTGGGCTGCGGACGCTCGCGGACGCCGGTGGGCTAGGCAACCCAACTACCCGCTCCTCTAGACTCTAACCTAGCCTACCGACAGCTTGAACTTGAGAAGCTGGCTTGAGAACCACTCTCGGCGTCGACACCGTCGGATAGGGGGCCTTTCTAGAGGAAGAGGCCGCCGAGGTCATCGAAGTACGCCCCGACACTGCCAAGGCGGCCAAGGCACAGCCACGCATCTCCGACGGGCGCCCCGAGAGACTTACGCCGGCCGGCCGCCGACCAGCCAAGTGATCGCCGCCGGCAGAACGCCGTATTGTGAGTCACTTAAGTCGTGTGAGACGACTCGGAGGGTCCTTAGGCCGCGCGGTGCGGTACGCGGCCGGGGTCCCCGGGGGGCCTCTGGGCTCGCCTCTGGGCCTTCAGGACCTCGGCGGTGCGGTGCGGCGAGATGCGGGTGCAGCAGCCTGCTACACTGTCATGGGATGCGGGCGGCGTGAGGGATCGCAGCAAGTGCAGGGAGCACCGCATGGCAACGCCCTGGACAGGCAGTCGGACTTACGGTGTCTTCGCCCACAACCGGCCACCCCACCCCCAACCTGCAGCCCGCACGCAGCTCGCGGCTCGCGGTTCGGTTCCGACGGACACTGCAGACTCATTCCAGGAGTCGCTTTCGTCGCTCTGTCTCTCCAGCACCTGTACGAGACGCCCCATGAGTGCGAGAGAGACTGAACGACGAAAACGACTCTCGGAATGAGTCTGCTGGTGGCTTGCTCAGGGGGACGGTGCGCGCGCAGGCCGGCGCAGGCCCTGCCCTTGGTGTCGAATGGCAGTCGATTATGAAGAGAGACGCGTCGGGTGTCGGTTTGCAGAGGCAGCCTATCGGTGCCTCGCGGAAATCGAAGCGGCGAAGACTCGCACGCGTCTCTCAAGTTCAAGTTCAAGTAGGCGATGCACAGTGGGCCAGAAGACCGGCGCAGCCGGCCAAAAGTCTAGACGCGTTTAGAGCTCCAGAGTCGCTAAATGGGACTCGAACCGAACGTGTGACCCCACCAATGGATTCCCCGTTCGGAGAGCAATCCATTGGTGGGGTCACGCGCTCGGTTCGAGACCTGGTTGGCGACTCTGGAGCTCATAACGCGTCCGGGGTTTTGACCGCCTCCACCGGTCTTCTGGCCCACTGTGTAGGGTTGCGGTAGGGCCACGGCCACGCCGACCTATTACAAAACACAAATTTAGCTGTCGGATGCTGGCAGTGTCACTCCCTATTCGCTCTGCTTCGCCTAATCTCCAGAGCAACCCCCAGCTCACGTGGAGCCCCCAGGTGATGACACACCGATGCAAATGCTGCACGCCCTACACAGTGGCAAAACCTGCACAGGGTTTCCTTCGGTAATTTTCTTCAAACAAATCTTAAAAGTGGGTTTTTTTTTTACAACAAACCATTGTTGTTATTTCTGCTTGTTTGTTTAAGTTTTCTGTGAGTTGACGCGTTTTTCGAATGGCCGCGGTCCGCGACTCCGTGACGCAGTGTGCGTGGGTGCGAGTCGCCAGCGAGTCGCCCCGGGCGTCGCGACGCCATGGCGACGCTCGCCGCGCGACGCTGCCCGCCGCCCTGGAGCGGCCCGGCGTGGCGGCGCGGCGTGGCGGTGCGCTGCGGCGGCGAGGCGTCCTTCCCCGTTCCGACTCAGTTCCGTCCTAGCCGCCGCCAGGGTAGCCGCCTCACCGCCTCCGCGTCGTGGCTGCGCGCCGGTGGACCCCGCGAGTGCGTGACAGTGTGTGTGCGCGTGTGAGTGCGGATTCGCGTCTGTGTGTTTTGGGGTGATGATGTGCGACGGACTGAGGACGTTTGCGACCCACCGGGGAGGCCCCCCGCGTCCGCCGCAGAGACTGTCGCCGCCACCGCCCACCCTCGTCGCCCTGCTGGTGCCGCTGCTGCTGGTGTTCCTGTCGCCGTCGTGTTCCGCGGCCGGTAGGTGGCGGGTTCGAGACCGGCCGGCGGCGGCATTTTTTTCGCCCCCAGTGTTGCATTTTAAGTTTCTAGCTAAGTCTCGGCCTCTAAGTTCGCACAGTCGGCACCTGGCAAATGTTTTTCGATGTCTGAATAGTCCCGCTCCAGTGCCGCACAGTCTATGCTAATCTACAGTGTGCCGCGCTGCTCAATCGGATGGTTATTATCCAATAAGGCACGCCTGCGCTGCGGCCCCGCAGCCCTGGAGCCCCTCAGCCCTGCGGCCCTCGCGTCAAGGAGCTGCACTGCAAGGCACTGCACTGCAAAGGGCTTTGGATTGGCTCGGAAGGGTCCCTGGGCAGTCACACAGTGGACCGGAAGACCGGTGGAGGCGGCCAAAATCCCGGACGCGGATTGAGCACCAGAGTCGCTAAATGGGACTCGAACCGAACGTGTGACCCCACCAATAGATTGCTCTCCGAACGAGGGGGTCACACGTCCGGTTTGGGTCCTGTTTAGTGACCCTGGAGCTCAAAACGCGTCTAGAGGTTTGGCCCAAACTCCACTATTCTTTTGGCCCACTGTGCCCTGGCCGGCAAACCCTTTGTCGAACACTGACGGACGCTCTAGGTGTGTGAATCTGCATTCCTATTTTCATAGATTTTTTTCATAGTTATTTTTCCTGCTTCGTTTTTCAGAGTGTGAGCGGACACGCTTTTTAAAGGCGGCAACCAAACAAGTGCGCTGGGAAGCTCGTCCGTGACCACCCTCGTTAGATTTGAAAGCACCTTCGGCGGAGCGCCCCGCCGACACAGGTGTGGGGGAGGCGTCGCCGGGCGTCGCGTCGTGGCGGCCGGTGCCAGGGAGGGGGAGGGGGAGGGGGAGCTGATGGCTTGGATCACACAGGGGCAGGAATCAATCCAGACAATGAAGGGGAAGTGGGCCGGAGGCAGTCAAAAATCCGGACGCGTTTTCAGCTCCAGAGTCGCTAAATGGGACTCGAACCGAACGAATGGACTGCTCTCCGAACGAGGAATCCATTGGTGGTGTCACACGTTCGCCTCGAGTCCTGTTTCGCGACTCTGGAGCTCAAAACGCGTCTGGAGTTTTGTCCGCCTCCACCGGTCTTCTGGCCCACTGTGCACTCCCCGTGGTGGTATCTGCCTGGACGGAGTTGCCGGGTAAGGACATTGCGGTGGTATCATCAACGCGGGCCACGCCCCACACCCCCGCTCGCCCCGCCCCGCCCCACCCGGCTACTCCACGCAGCGCGGCGCGGGTTCCATTCCCCGGCCTTGAAACACAATCTGGTGTGACGGCCTGGACCGCCGGCCGAGTGTCCTGCAAGTCCTGCAAAGGAGCGAAAATGACGCATACTGTAACGAAACTCTAGGCGTTATCGTGCTATATCGTCACCGGTCTCGAGGTTCGGAGTATTCCAGAGTCGTTAAACAGGACTCGAACTGAACGCGTGACCCCCACCAATGGATTGCTCTCCGAACGAGGAATCCATTGGTGGTACACCGGTTAATCCCTTCAGGACTCTGGAGCTCAAAACGCGTCTGGAGTTTAGGCCGCCCGCGGCGGTCTTCTGGCCTACTGTGGACGCGCGGACGCGAGCCAGATGCAGGCGACGCAGGTCTGACAGTCTCTCGGGGTGTCACTGAGTTCACTCCGAAACCCGGCCGGCGGGCACAGCGGTTCAAGACAGCGTCTGGGGCCCGCGGGTTGGGGTTAGGCGCCCCAGGCCTTCTGGCCCCGTGGGCGGCCGCGGTTCGAAAGCAGGCACGCAGGTTCAGTCTTTTTCGGGTGTCTTCTGAGTTTTACCGCGCCGGCAGGACAACGCATCGACGGGAAACTCAGGGGTCAACGCCGGAAGTCAGGTCTCTTTGGGTTTTTTCCCCCCGGGGGGCCCCTGGGGAAAAAAAATTTGGGCGGGACCCAAGGACGTTTGGGTACGTTCCTTCACGGCCGCTCTGCACGGTCACTGTGTGGTCTCTGCGTGGTCACTGGAGCGTCCCTGGCAGTGCACTGGCACGCCACTGGAACGGATCCCTATCCGCTGGAACGAGCTGCCGGGCCGCGCGGCCAGACGCGGTCACTTTTACGGACCGGAAGGGGAGGCACTCTGCAGGCGCCACCGTGGAACGCGTGGAACGGACCCGAACCAACCCGGGCCAACCCGGGCCGACCCGGTCACGCCGACGCGACCGGCAGGATGCGGCCAGGATGGACGGGGCGGGGCGGGGCGGGGCGGGGCGGGGCGGGGCGGGGCGGCCTGCCGTGACTTATGGCTTAGTGTCCGCTTGGATCAATCAGGAAGTCCCAGACTGTTCATTCGAGGATTCTCTTCTCACCCGCCGGGATGTTTTTACCACAGCAGTCACTACTGGCTGCTGTAGACACCCGCTGAAGGGCTGCTGCTGCTGCTGGTGCTGCTGCTGACGTGATGATGATGATGATGATGATTATGGGAATCGAACTCATGACAGCACACTTCCAACCAATGTCGGCCAAAATATTATGATTTGATAAAGACTATGCTGCAGTATGCAATAAGTTAAACAAAAACAAAAATTTAAAACCTTTTTTGTTGTTGAGAAAGTACAGTATAAACGCTTAATCGGGGTGCCACCACCCACACGGCTGCTGTCTTCTCTATCACCCCGTGCCGGGTGGCACACGCTCACACACACACACACACACACACACTCACTCACACACACACACACACACTCACGGACGCGGCGTGACCAGTGGAGCGTGTCTGCCAGCTGCATGTCGTGCTTGCTTCCCATTTCCTTCCCATTCCCGTGTCGCGCCGTGCGTAATTCACAGTGGCGTAATTCGGTAATCAAGTGATGCTACAAAACGGCTCCAATAACCCTGCTGCATCGGGCGCACGCGACAAGTCGGCTTTCGTTTGTTTCCTTCTCTCATTCTTTTTTTTTTTTTTTAAAGGTTTTGGGAAGTAAAGTTGCTCGATCTTTCCACAGCTTTCCTCTCGAAACTGTGCAAGGGGAATAACAGAGGAAAAAGGCGAACCTAACCTTACCTAACCTACAAAAATGAAAGCTCGCGAAAACTTTATCATGTTAATGTTGAACGGCCTCGACAGGAACAACACAGCGAGTCTGCATGGCCACTGCCGTTTTCTGCTTGGATGGAGCCACTTGGGTCTCTCTCTCTATCTCTCTTTCTCTGTCGGTGGTCGTTTAATGAATCATAGGGCGGCGCGCATCGCCGGGCACAGCGCGCCACAGGCCGCAAACCAACGGATATGAGGCCGCGTGGCTTCCGGGGCGTCCTGCCTCAAGCTCGTCGGACATTTTGACATTGTGACATCATTTTGCAGGTCGCAGGTCAGTTTCATGTGCGACTTTGTTGTTTACACCACAAAGCTCAGGCTAAAAGTGCAATTTCCGAAAAAGAAAAAAATAATAAAAGGTGATTTTTTTTTGCGGAGAGTTGAACCCGCAACGCAGCGGACGCTCTCGGTATGCTCAAGTAGGTCCTTAATTCGGGAGCCCTGCGATGAGAAAGCCTGTCTCTGCCGGTGGCTTTGAGTCGCCAGCGGAGAGAGAGAGAGAGAGAGAGAGAGAGAGAGAGAGAGAGAGAGAGAGAGAGAGAGAGAGAGAGAGAGAGAGAGAGAGAGAGAGAGAGAGAGGCCCCCCGCCGGGCGTGGGCCGTCTCGTGTAATTGCTGCAGACAGTACACAGCTGGGGAGGATTGAGGAGTGGCAAGGAGAGGACCGGCGAGTCGAAAGCTGGGCAGGAAAGCCCGCTTTGGTACCGAAAGGGGTGCCACTGCGTAAGCATGGTGATACTGCTGTGCAGGCCAACTGCCGACCTTCTAAATGTTACCACGACATACCGGAGGCGTCCGAAAGGGCCCGCCCCGCATGGACGGCATTTGGCCGCGTTTTCGGACTTGGGACGCCTCCGCCCAGTGCACTGCGTGCGTGGGCCGGCCCGGCTGGTAATTGAGTAATGGTGTATGGAGGATCGAAGGCCGGCCGCCCTTTTTTGTCCCGATCCTTGAGGAGTCTGACTCGTGGCCCCGGCTGCCTTGCCTGCTGCAGGGACGCCGCTGACGCTGTCGGAGGGCCGCGCCATCCTGGACAAGTGGCGGCCCCTGGTGCACGGCGCGGTGGCGGTCAAACTGGGCGAGCTCAACTACCAGGTGAGGCTGCCGGCCGCTGCCGGCGATACTCCGCGTTGGTCCTGTCGCTGGCGCGCGGGGTATCACCACAGTGGATTTGCCAGAAGACCGGTGGAGGCGGCCAAAACTCTAGACGCGTTTCGAGCTTCAGAGTCGCTAAATGGGAACGTGTGACCCCACCAATGAACTCCTCGTCCGAAGAGCAGTTCATTGGTGGGGTCACACGTTCTGTTCGAGTCCCATTTAGCGACTCTGGAGCTCGAAACGCGCCCGGGATTTTGGCCGCCTCCACCGGCCTTCTGGCCCACTGTGCGCGCGGGGTATCGCCGTCACGCTGCCCGTCTCTGCCCCCCATCGCAGGCGTCCGTGCGGCTCTACTCCCCCGCCGCCAACCAGCACGTCTGCGGCGGCGCCGTCATCAGCGCGTGGCACGTCCTCACGGCGGCCAGGTGCTTCTCGTACGGCGCGGCCCTCGCGCCCGAGGCCGTCTTCGTGGTGGCCGGCGCCGTCCGCCGGTCCGCGCTCAACGAGGGCGACGTGGAGACCGCCGTCAGGAAGGTGGTCAACATCGCCAGGCACCCCGAGTTCAGCTCCAGGGAGCAGCGCCACGACCTCGCCCTGCTCACGGTGAGTCTGTCTGTCTGTCTGTTTGCCTGTCCGTCCGTCCGTCCGTCCGTGCTGACTCCGTCTCGTTGCAGCTGAGCACGGCCCTGCCAGTGGAGCGACTGGGGCGGGTGGGCGCCGTGCCGCTTCCAGTGGGGGGCATCCGCGCGGACCTGGCCTCCACGTGCGTCGTCAGCGGCTGGGGCAACAACACGGTGAGCATAGCTCCGTCTCCCTCGCACCCCTACGGCTCACCCCACGAGTACGAGAGAGACGGAGCGACGATCTTTCCCGGTTCGTTTCTGTCTCTCTCGCACCCTTGCGGGCCGCCCCACAGTGGGCCAGAAGACCGGTGGTGGCGGCCAAAATTCTAGACGAGTTTTGAGCTCCATAGTCGCTAAATAGGACTTGGACCGAACGTGTGACCCCACCAATGGATTGCTCTCCGAACGAGGAATCCATTTGTGGGGTCACAAGCTCGGTTCGAGTCCCATTTAGCGACTCTGAAGCTCAAAACGCGTCTTGAGTTTTGGCCGCCTCCACCGGTCTTCTGGCCCACTGTGCGCCCTGCGAGTAGTGAGGCAATAAGTGACCTCGCTCGGAATGAGCCGGGTGCTACCCAGTGCTATCTATGTCTGTCTCTGTCGCACTGCAGGCGCAGACGGCCCAGGACGCGGACGCGCTGCTGTCGGCCGAGGTGCCGTTCGTGGACAGGGAGATGTGCCTGCAGATGTTCGAGCCCCGCGTGCTGCCCAAGGGCGTCATCTGCACAGCGCACCAGAAGGGCGGCGTCGGCGCCTGCGTGGTGAGTAGCTGGGCCTTCCCCGGCACCTGTCTGTCCCTCTCGCACGCGCGGGGCGCCGCGGGGTGCGAGAGAGACGGAGCGAGGGCCACCGAGGCGCCCGGCGCGTAGCGCGGCCCGTAGAGCGCGTGCGTGTTGCGTGGCTGCCTACCCGCCGCTTCGCAGGCGTCCGAGACGCGTCCCACAGTGGGCCAAAGGCCGGTGGAGGCGGTCAAACCCAAAATCCCGGGCGGGTGTTGGGCTTCAGATTCGCCAAATAGGACTCAAACCGAACGTGTCACCCCACCAATGGATTGCTCTCCGAACGAGGAGCCCATTGGTGGGGTCACTCGTTCAGTTCGAGTCGCCTGCTTAGCGACTCTAGAGCTCAAAACGCGTCTAGAGTTTTGTCCGCTCCACCGATCTTCTGGCCCACTGTGCGTCCGAGCCTCCCCTTGTGCCTCTTGCACTGCTTGTGCTGCTTGTGCTGCTTGCAGGGCGACACGGGCGGCCCGCTGGTCTGCAACGGCTTCCTGGCCGGGACGGTGTCCTGGGGCTCTGGCTGCGGGGCCAACGCGCGGCCCACGGTGTACACGAGCGTGGTGGACCACGTGGAGTGGGTGCGCGCGCAGATGGCGGTGTGGCCGCGCGGCGACGGCTACGTGGCGGTGCGCGGCGGGGCGTCGTCCGCGGCCTCGTCGCCGGCCTGGCTGGGCCTGCTGGCCCTCGCCTCGGCCCTCGCCTCCGCCCTCGCCTCCGCCCTCGCCGCCGCGCCACTCTGAACCTCTCGACGACGACGACGTCCGCGGAGCACGGATTCAGATTCAGATTGACGGCGGAAGTGAACGCGAATGGCGCGAAAACGATGGGGTCCGGCCGTGTTGAAAGGTCCACGATGCCGAAATACGCGTGAGATTCGCGTCATCACATCTTGCCAAAGACCTTCACTTCATTCAACGGAGCCTTCAGTTCAATGGTCCTCCCCCTCCAAAGAATGTTTCCTTCAATTTGGACATGTCACCGCTACTTGACGTCCGGCTCGCGGTGGGAGGCTTGCTCTGGGTGACCTTAGCGTCTCATTAGAATCCCCAGTAAAGTAGATTCGCGAGGACGCGAGAGGCAGTTTTGTCTGGGCTTGGAATGCCGTTACGTCTCAGCTGTGTCCTTTTGTACCTCGACTAAAATGTGGATCCCAGAGTGTAAGTGACGTCATTTTAAGGGTTATGCGCTGATTAATGATATAGCGAAGCAGCAGAAGTTAACATTGAATCGTGGTTTTTATTTAACATTCCATTTTCATGATACTCAACATTAGTCTTTTGAATACTATTAAATAATAGAAGTGTCGACGAACTGAGTTATGCTAAGGTATAGTCATAGTTTGTACATAGACTGCAATTTTGTAATGTGTATATATATAATACATACTTTAAGAACCCAAGCATTCTTTGTCAAAGTGATTTATTTCGATTTTGACGATGGACGATACAACTCAAATCCGTGCTCATTGGAATGAACACGTCGCCTCTTCATTCAATCATTCATTCGCTCACTCACACACTGACTCACTCATTCTCATGGCAGTGGAGAGGTCTCCTTAATTAATCCTACCTCAGCCTTAGCCAATATCACAATTTGTCCTTACTTTGTACGATAAGTCTTATCAAAACCTACAGACCTACGTTTTGAATAAATAAAAGATACACGCCTCGCGCGTCTAGCGGGAGTCACAGGCTGATGCAATGCGTGAACTGCAGAGAAGGACTCCGTCGCTCTGTCTCTCTCGCACTCGTGGGTCGTCCCGTTTGGGAGCGAGGGAGACGGCGTGACGAAAGCGACTCTCGGAATCAGTCTGCAGTCGTTATTCCACATCGAGTCCCTGCGGCCTGGCGGCCTGCGGGTTGTTTTCCGCGGGGGAACCCCGAGTGCAGTGGCGTCGTCGCGTCGCTGCATCTTTGTCGCGCTTGTCGCTCTGTGCGCGGTGCGCTCCTTCACCTGGTGGACGGCGCCGAGAAGCTGATGGGGCCCGACTCGTTGATGGGGTGGGTCGTGGGGCCGAAGGTCGTGCCGTTCACCTGCCGGTCACAGAGTCTATGAGAAATTCAGCCAGAGAGAGAGAGAGGAGAGAGAGAGAGAGAGAGAGAGAGAGAGAGAGAGAGAGAGAGAGAGGGCCCTCACCGTGACGGCGGGCACCGCCCGGATGAACTCGGTGGCGTCCTGGCGGCCCTCGTCCCAGTCGCGGGCCACGGCCAGGATGAGGCCGGCGACGAAGCTCTCGCCGTCGTCCTCGGTCACCGAGTCCCGCACGATGTTGTTGGTGGTGGCGTCCTGGGGCCGCGGCGCGGCGTGCGCCAGCAGCGCGGCGCCCAGCAGCAACGTCAGCGCGGGCAGCACGGACACGGCCTGCAACCGACGTCACCGTCGTCATCATCATCGTCACGCCCCGGGACCGGCCGGTCACGCCGCGTTTGTAGGACGGACTTGTTTGCGCGTCGGGGTGACCCAGGATCGCGATGACGTCAACGCGTACGTGCCGGCGGCCACCGCGGCCACCGCCATCGCCGGAGGGCGCGGGCACTTTCTTCGGGGAGGGGAGGGGAGGGGAGGGGAGGGCGCGCTCCGGAGGAAAACAACCTGACGCTGGCGTCGCTAGGGCGGCGGGTTCGGAAGGAGCGCCTTGAGGTAGGCAACTGGGACCGAACGGCGCAGGCGTGCGCGGCGGGCCGGCCTACGCCGCAGGCTCCCGGCGCACTGTGGGCCACCCGGTGGAGGCGGTCGTTTTGAGCTCCAGAGTCGCTAACTGGGACTCGAACCGAACGTGTGACCCCACCAATGGATTGCTCTCCGAACGAGGAATCCATTGGTGGGGTCACACGTTCGGTTCTAGTCCTGTTTAACGACTCTGCAGCTGAAAACGCGTCTAGAGTTTCCGCCGCTGGCGCCGGTGGTCTGCCCCAACGTGCGGCGGCCTCCTCGCGTCGGCGGCGTCTTGGGGTCGGCCGGGGTCACGCGGAGGCAAGGCGGGGAAGGCCCAGCGCCAAGGCCCTGCCGCCGCCACGAGAACAAGGCCGCCGTTCCCACGGCTGGCCCACGGCCCCTGTTGGGGTGGCCGCCAGCACCGCCAGGCCGGGGATTCCGCCGCCCGCACTCCGCGCTCTGTCTCTCTCGCACGCGCGGAGTGTACTGCTGGGGTGCGAGAGAGACAGAGCGAAAAGTGCGGGCAGCGAAATCGCTCGACTGGCCGCGGACGGTTTACGCGCGCGTTTCTGTCTAGGCCTGGTTTCTACTTTTGACTACTGCTGTATTTGGGTCTGCAACCGAGGAGCAGGATAACAGGTGACGAAAAAGATCATGTGACAAAGTAACTAAATGCAGATCTGTTTTATTTTAGCTGACAAGAATGTTACAACAAGCTGATCGAAAAACTGACCCTCAAAGTACGTATATTTCATTCCAGTTCTACTCTACACTCAGGAAAAAAATCAACAGCATGTTCAACCACGTGTGCACGGTAAAAACGGTTCCTGTTTTTTTATTGAGGAAGCCTATGGCAGAGACATAGGCGATTTCCAGGGAGTTCCTGGGAAAACAAGGAACCGTTTTTACCGTGTGGTCATCCCAGGCCCAGGGGTCAATAGACTATGAGCAAAGCACTGCACTGTAACCATTAAATAAACAAACTACTGGTTGTAAGTTGATCCACTTTGTAAAAACCCTGCTACAGATTTTCTGGCTGCATGCGCACTCTGTGTTGATATGTGTATTTTTGAAACTCGTTGTTCTTTGCTCACCATGGTTGTCTGGTTGGCGGGAGTTGGCCGGTGGAGGTTGGAGGGCGTGTTGGCACGGACACCGCGAAGTGCGAAGAGCGCGAAGGGGCAGTGAGTGTGAAGAGAGCTCCGAATCTGTCGAGGCGGTCACTACTTGTGGGGCCAGACGCCGGGGGGGCTTCTTTATAAGCCGACTTGCAGGTCTTCGCTGGAAAACCCGTCTCGGCGCCGGGGGGCCCCGCCGCCCCCTCTACCCCCCGGGGGGCCCCTCCGCCCCCCGGACCCGGCCCCGCACGCCCCGCACAGGACATGCCGGACACCAACCTCACAACGCGAGGGTTAGCGACTCGTCCTTGGTAACCCTGCATTACCGTTCAGCCCTGTCTCTCTCGCGCCCCGACGGGAAGCCTCACGAGAGAGACAGACACCACTTCGTGACGTAGCGTTACTTTCGGCCTCCTAAGCTAGCCTGCAGACGGCACAGAGTTACTGTACACGACTTGGTCGGTGAGTCAGCGGCTACACTGGTGAGGGCTCTTGGAGTTTGGCCTCCACGAGGAAGTGAAGCGATTTGCGTGCGACAGTGGCCTGCTTCTGCGAATTAGACTCTCGATGTTTCACACCCGGATCGGAGACTCGCAGAGGCTTTCATTGCTGGTCTATACGGTGATTTCTCTGAGAAATGGAGCTCGGAGTTGCAGCATGGGACTCGAACCGAACTTGTGACCCCACCACTCCGCGTCGCAGTAGTCGCCCGCGTCCGGAGGCTCGATCCGTCGCCCTGTCTCTCTCGCACTCGTGGGGCGTCCCGCCGCGTCCCGCAGGGGTGCGAGAGAGACAGGGCGACGAGTGAGCCGGCCGTCGTCTTGGCGGCGCTTGGCGGCGCCGTCTTCGCCGCGTGCGTTTGGTTCCGCGGAAGTGGCCTGTTATCGCGTGGAAAACGACGCTTCTTTTAAAAGCGGTCCGTTTCCGCCGGCCGCGCACTGCGATGCTGGCCGTGCTGGCCGCGGCGGGAAAACACGGGAAGCGGCTTTGAACCGCCATCGTCCATTGGCCGAGCCTGGCCGTGGAGTCGGAGTCGCATTCGCAGCATTCACGGAGACATGGCGCACCGGGCGGTGCTGCTGGTGCTGGCAGCCGCCGCGTGCTGCGCGTCCGCCTCCATGCCCAAGATCCGAGTGAGTTTCCCGGCTTTTCTCGGAACTGTTTTCGCCCTCTCTCGAGCCAAATGATGGGCCGGCCAACAGTGGGTCAGAAGACCGGCGGAGGCGGTCACAAAATCCCGGACGCGTTTCGAGCTCCAGAGTTGCTAAATGGGACTCGAACCGAACGTGTGACCCCATCAATGGATTGCTCTCCGCACGAGGAATCCATTGGTGGGGTCACACGTACGGTTCGAGCCCTGTTTAGTGACTCTGGTGCTCGAAACGCGTCTAGTACTTGGGCCGCCGCCGCCGGTCTGCTGGCCGACTGCGCGGCCCGTGCGTGGCCCGGGAATTTCCCCCCGAGTGTCCGTTTCGCCACTTTGAATCAGTCTAAATGCAGGGCGTGGTGGACAAGGTGCTCGACAAGGTGTTCGGGGCGGTGGACGCCCTGGCTCCGCCAGCGGGCAGCTTGCCTCCGGTCGACGGCATCCTCCCGGTGGGTGCGTTCGTGCCCATCGGCCTCCTCCCCCGCTCCACCGAAAAGCCGCACTCGGTTGACCGGCGTTCGGTGGATGTCCATCACCACGAGCCAGGCCATCATCACCTGCCGCCCGCCGAGGTGCCCGAACCGATCCCGCTCCTCGAGCCGGTCGAGGTGTACGACGCGGTCCAGGTGCACCAGCCGGTCGAAGTGGTCGAAGTCCTGCAACCGGTCGACGTGGTCGACGTGGTCGACGTGGTCGAACCGGTGGTGGTCGTGGTGGACTCGGCCTCCCTCGTCGACCACCCCGTGCTCATCGAAGAGTACGACAACTACTACTACCCGGTGGACCATCACATCCTCTGACCACCACGTCGTTGTTTTATTTTTATTTTTATTTTCAGTTTTTTTTTGCAGAGTTGGGTTGAAATGTAGAGTGATGAACACGTATTGTAGGTAAATCGTAGGTAGTTTAATCTTGTAGCATGGGTAAGGAAGTTGATGACCCCGCTTTACAACTCCTGCGGCAGTGGGCCCGTGTTGTCTAGAGTGTCTAGAAAGGCTTCTGCATCGCGCTTCAGCTGAAAGCAAAACGAAACGTCCGTTGCACGGATGAGAGGACAATTTTGAATCGCGGTTTATAGTGAGTAAAATTGCCTAGAAAGGGTAAAAGTCTTAAAAATGCGGGTGTTTCTAGCCAGTAACAAGATAGGCGCGCTGTGCGTCCTCGACGTACAATCATGACTCTGGCATAGTTATCGTCTGCTCCGGGAACGTACTTCATCCGCTCGAACGCTTGCCTGTACTCCTCGTCCTCAGAGTCCATGGCCTCGTCCTCCTCGTCGTACTCGTCCTCATCCTTGCAGTACGCCATGCGAGGTCTAAAAAAAATTGGAGAAACTAGTTGGGTGTGACCCTGCGGCCTACACTGATGCGGTGAGTTTTATGGAGGGAGACTTACGACTTGGGACGAGCACACGAATTCTGGGCCCGCCGGCCCCCTGGGAAATACCTAAGTAAAGGAATAAAGAATGAGAAACTGGGGATTTTTGGTGGAATTTTTCGTGGAATTTTTCGTGGAGTTTTTCGTTTGTTTGACGGTGGGAACGGAGAGCTTACCGCGCCGCACCCTCGGCAGCACTGCTAGTGACCGCCCTGGCCGTCTCCTTCACCTTGTCCGTCAGTTTGCCAGGCACGTTGCGACGGATCGCCTCGGACACCAGTGCGGCTGTTTTCTGACGCCCCAAAATAAAGCCGAGTTTAAATGGACGTTTTATATCGCTGAGCAGGACTCGAACCGAACGTGTGACCCCACCGATGGATTGCTCTCCGAACGAGGAATCCATTGGTGGGGTCACACGTTCGATTCGAGTCCTGTTTAGCGACTCTGCAGCTCAAAACGCGTCTAGAGTTTTGGCCACCTCCACTGGCCCACTGTGCGCCGCACACCACTCACCAAATCCGACTTGAACACCTCCTTCGACGTCCACCTGCTCGTGACGATCTCCTTGGCCATGCTCAGCGTGTCGGAGAGCTCGGGCGCGTTCACCAGGCCCATGATGTCGGGCATGAAGCCGGCCAGCAGGTCCAGGACGCCGTCGGTGGTGTCCGAGGCGGTGTCCGAGGCCTGCCTCCCGGGGCGCGCGGCCGCGGCCGTCCCCGCCACCAACACGGCGAAGAGGACGGCGATGAGGACGTGGGTGGCGGCCATGGCGGCGGCAGGAAGGATGCGCGACTGCCTGCCTCGCGACCGCTGCGACCGCCACCCCGGAGTGCACCTCGACGTCGACGCCCCGGGTCAAGAACACCTTATCGCCGGCGGCGTTTGCTCGTCGGTTAGGATCGCGACCCATCAGGACGCGGGGCGAGGCAAGGCAGCATCCCAAACAAATAAATGCTACATCGTGGTTTTTTCGCGTTTTGGCAAAAACATTAAATGGCCCAAATTCGAATATGTTGTGCTAGAGCACAACACTCCCTCATGACTCCTGACACTATTTCGATGACTGAAAAAAAAAATCCTAACCTTAGCGTACTATTGGGCGGCAAAAAGACTTCTCCCGTGACGCTAGTTGAGTTTAAGTGGTTGTGGCCAATGGTTGCCTACCTACGCATGCATGCTCTAAGCAGCCCAGTTATTCGCCAGGAAAATATCGTGTAGGGCCGAAATGGCCCTTGAAATAGTGTCAGGAGTCTTAAGAGAGTGCCCCAGCAGAACATACTTGAATTTGGGCCGTTTTCAAGTTTTGGGGTGGGAGCCGACGGCGGGAACTCTTTTGCATCTTAGAGGTAAAGAGTAGAGAGAGCAGCGCCACCAAGGTAGGCCACCCATTTGACACGCTTGGGGTGGGAGCCCACGGCAGGTATTCTTTTCCACTCTTTGAGGGAAAGGCGAGTGTGTGTGCTTCGCGCCTATTAAAGCCAGGCGCTTATGTTATGAGGAAAACATTTCTACACCTAGGATTTGAACCAATCTCCTCACACAGTGTGTCTCCGCCCAAACATGTTTGGTTACCTGATTCTTCGAGTTCGTGAAGTGAGGTAAACTTAGAGTTTGGGAACCAAACTCATGAAAAGATTTGGGCGACGCTCTTGCCGACTAAGCCACCGGTTCGTGGTGTTCACCTTAAGAAGGGACTGAACTGCCACAGCAAATGTGAAGCGTTTTAGAAATTGGGGGGTTGAACAGGAATGCAGCCAGTTTCAGGTGGGGGAAACTAATATATTCCCAAGAAAGCTCACTCTTTATCTAATACACTTCAAGAGTAATAATTGATCCCAATTCATAGTAGACATAACAATTCTGATAACAACAGCGATAACAATTATAATAGAACTCATTTTATTACATAATAATGATAGTTAAAATATGATTAACATGACTACAGCCATGAAAAGTACAGGAAATAAACTTTTTTTTAATAGAAAATTTAGGCACAATGTTCTGCACATGGCTTGAAGCTTAACTTTATCCTGCATGACAAGCTATAGAGGCAGGCAAAGAAGAAGCAGAATCCAAAACCTGTAGATACATTTACATTGCATATTCCTGATGTCACACCAATTTTAAACATGATTCCCCCTTGCACTGAAAAAGACATCACTGTAACGGAATTGTCTTTGAAAGTGAGAGAGAAAATTAATAAAGCAAAAAGTGTTGTCAGGCAAAATTTGGCTGACTACAAAAGACTTTGTGCCAGGATCCATTTTCTTTAAACTACAGATGTCCAGATGTGAACAAACTAAGGTTTGTTTTCTTAGGACTGGAAATAGAGAGGAAACATTTGTTTGAAACAGAAGTGGCTGTCCTGAAAGTGCACCAACCACAACATTCACGTAACATTAAAACATAAAAATTTGAAGATAAAACAAACCAGAAACATTGATTTCCGAGAAAAATATTGGTGCAAATATTTACACATCTGAATACAAGAGCTTAAACTAATTCTTAAGACAAGTATATACACTACAAAAATGAGCATCACAGAATAGTGGGGCTGGTGTAGTGGTTCTAGCACCAGTTGCAATTTCAAACTCTCTGCCTCAGTAAAAGATCAGTATTCCTCAAAAGCGTTACATTTGAGCCAGCAGAGGATGAGGACCTTGCCTTGAATCACATTATAAAAGGTTTAGAGTGATGACATGCCTAAAATTAAACATAGTAATAGTATATATAGATATAAAAGTAACTATAGCATTCCTTCAAATACCGGAATGTATTAACATGATTAAATACGTCGGGACTTCATACAGACGGACTTTCCCTTTAACACAGACAAGGATGATTTAATGTGTCTATATCTACCAGTTATTCCTGAGAGGCACTATGTAATTGATTCAGTAATTGAATGGATTATAGGACCAAGTTTAAAAACAATGGAGAAACTTTTTAGAACTGGGCATTATAGGAGAATACAGAAGCCAGGCATCTGCAAGTCTAAATTATAATTGACTACTTTCAATGCTAAGATAAAAAATGAAGTCTCTAAAGCGCATACAAATTTGTGGGAGGAAAGTAAAAGTTTCTCTGCTTCTGGTGTTACTTCAATGGAATAAATTAAACAGTAAACTTTTAAAAGTTATACAAAATATCTAACAAACAGTAGCTAGAATTTAAAAACTAGATACCTTGGTTGCAGACGTAGTCAAAAAATGTTAAAAAAATTTCATGATTAAATTGATGCTTGTTATGTTTCAATAATTTTGTCACTAAGCTCAGATAGTAGTTTCATCACTATGCTCAAATTTTGTCAAAATGCTCACAATTTTAGAATAAAGTTTCTAGAAAAGAAAGGGATGACAGTGCAAAGTTTCAGCTTTAAGAAGGCTTTGAACTTTAGAAACTGAACCCTTCATATTACAATGACATTAATAAAAGCATGTCAAGACGTACCCACAAATTCTACGCTACAAGACATGGAGAATTATCTCAAAACAGATTTATGAAAAAAGCAAGTAATGCTGTTGATACCCTAGGGTCTCAGAATTGGCTTCAATGGAATAAAAGCGTTTCATGTACTTCAAGTACTAAAACAATGTATGGCTGTTAGCACTAGGTCTACACTCTAAAAGTTGACATTATAAAAGAAGAAAACAAGCCGAACAGTGGATGAAGAATAATAAAAACACATTGCTCAAGACATAAAAAATAAACAGAGGGACTATCACACTGCTCAATTCACTCATGGAAAATATAATCTACTATGACTCAATTTACCACAAAAGCTGGTTCAATAAAAATGTGTAGTTAACAAGGTTTTTGCATGAACACGTTAGTGAACAAACCATGACTCTCGGAACAAAGTGTCTATGTTTGACAACAGTGAAGATGTGTAATCAAGTATGTAACTTAATTACAAATATATTGCACAAAGAATATAGATTGAAATTAGCTTGGCTTACAATAAAATGGATGGATAAAGAGTCAAGAACCCAACCACGTCTCTTCATAAAAGCATTTCATTATAGTGAAAATAATTTTAAGTAGAATAATATTTAACATTTGAAGTGATCAGAGATCATAAATAATCATGTAAGAGGATAAGCTAACCTGCCTTATTTCATCGCCAATAATACATATAACAGAGTCTGATATGAAATCTATAAATATTACAAATCTACATTATTTTATGTGTTTTTCTAACTGTACTCAGTCCACACCTGCAAATCCTTGCGATCCTTCAATAGCTTTAATAAGCTTGTCTCGAAGTTGTTGATAATCATCATAGGGAGGCAGGTCCAACCGGTTGAAACTGGAAAGAAATACAGATATAAGAGTTACTGCTGCAAGGGTTACTGCCGCAAGGACAGATTTAACAAAGTACTTTTGTGGAAAAAATGAAGGGAAAGCTACATACCATGTGTGAGCTCTTGGATAATTGGACGGTTTCCCCCATTTTTCTATGGTAAATAGTTGAGGACCATTACTGCCATAAAGCTCTTTAAAACCATTCATTGGTACTCGTGACGTGCCAGTTACAAATTGAAGTAAGCGGGAGCGCATTTCGTTGTTAAAAGATAAAACCACCTTAAAGAAAACATAAGCAGACACTATCACAAACATTCCAACAAAAAAATTTTCAAAAAGAGACCACTATTTCTTACCCTCCAAAACCACTGAACAGTAATATGGTTAGGGTGGTAATCTCCTTTGTAGAGCGTATTTTGCTTCCAATCCTTGACATCAATATTTTGGATACCACACATCAGCAGTTCTAATTCATTTTCATCAAAAATCTTAATTAAATTTAGGGGCACAAGGCAACTGAAACCATTGAGGAAGGCGTTCATTTGTTCTTGCACTCTAGAGACAAATCGCCATTTTATCACAAGACTGTAGGGAGAAAAGGACATCAAATCATGAACTGAGATTCCAAAAAAACATTGAATTAGAAATAGTTCAGAGGAAATACAAACCTTATATATTCATCTTTGTTTTCATTAGTCACTGGTTCATTAGCACCATTGGGTTTCAGTTCTCGCTGTGATGTATGACCTAAACTATCCTCGTCAACACAGAACGTTAGTTCTAGCTCTGTGGGATCATTTTCCTTAATCCACAAAAGAGAATTATAATATTCACTGTCCACACTTTCCATATCTTTAAGATCAATCGTTTTCTCCAGCATCATTTTGTAGAAAGGACGGATGAAGAAAGCTGAAATAAGATTTCCACAATACAGATACATAATTCATGAAACACCAATAGGTGTGGTACATAACCACTGGGTCTTACCATCCAACAGTTTGCCATGGTAGACAGCCATCCCAGCAATGCGTCCAATAAACTTGAAATAACTGAGATGCTCCTCATTGCAAAGTCCAGATAGGGGGTTGATTTGAAGCGTGTAGTTGTCCCTAAGATTTGAAATTTAGAAAAAAAAAGGTAAGAGAGGAACTGGTTGAAGGTACAAGAGGTATTCCAAAAGACAGTGAGGGGCACAAAATCTACTTACATAGCAGAATATTCGAAGAGCCCATAATACGGATTAAACATTTCTTTTGACAACAAAAAGAACCATTCTCGTGCCAAGCCTCCATAATCCAAGCCTACTTCTCCTTCAAATTCTACCCAAAGTTTTGTTTTCAAAAGATCTGTGCGATTGACTGTACTAATTATTCGGTAAGAGTCTTCCAAGATGTTGGACCTGTTTACCTTTATCTCAAATTTGTTAGGTACATTATTCTGAAAAATAAGAGTAAATTATTACTATTAATTATACGGCCTAGAGGGGAACAAAATGTACAAGATATGGATTTGGATGAATAGTTACCGGCTTTCGTAGTTGAGACTTAAGGAAGTCGTACTTTTTCTTATAGTCTCTAGAATAAGGAACAGCCTGCAAAAGAGAAGAAATGCAAGAAAATAATTGTGAAGTCTAATTAGCATATCTAGCACTCTTAAAAGATGTTCAAAGGTGTCCTTTACTTACAGGGCCAGCTATCTGAGGATTGGATAATCTTGGATCATCCCATTGTGTTTGCCTTGTATCTGAAACGGAACAGAATGACAGTGAGTGAAGACAATATTGTATACCGCTATCAAAAAAGATACAAATGACCTGTGACATCAAACTTACTATGATCAATGAAAAAGATCCTTCCATCTGAATGAATCCTCTCCTCCCACCCTTCTGGTAAAGGCCCAAGTTCATCTCCAGGATGCTGTCGGGAAGTAATGGGTGCGCATGGTGTACATGGCATGGGACTAGCACGCCCAGTTCTTGGATCCACCCAGGATGTTGCTCTCTCATTGTGGTCAATGAAAAACATACGGCCATTGGGAGCTATTTGCATCGACCACCCAGGAGGAAGTCCAGCAGCACAGTGATCTGCATGAAGTTGGGTTTGAGTCGAGGCATCAGATGCGTCATCATTGGAATTTAAATTACTATTAGTAGCTGAGTTGGATGTACTGTTGCCTGAGTCTCCACTTTCAGTTGAGGAAGCTGGAACCTAAAAAGAAAAAAAAACATTAGGGAAATTTAAATAATGACTAAAACGGCTGAGACAAAAAGCAACTCATTTGCACAAAGCACACTTACACTGCTAGATTCTCTCCTAGAAGAGCTAGGACTGTCGACGCAGTCACTACCTTGGCTTAAAGTTACACTGTTTCTTTGATTGTGATCCACTTCATCAGCACTAATATGGAATCTTCTCTGAAATTCTAGTGCAGCAATGTCAACTTGGTCAGCTCCAGCAGTAGTTTCACTGGAAAGAAACATTAGTTATTCATTAAGAGAATATGTTACTAAAGTCTCATTAAAAAAGAATACTCTTTTTGGGAAAATTTTACTCACCTTACAGACGGTCTTTCCCATTGAGTTGTACGGGCAACATGGTTCACGTAATATGTTCTTCCATTTCCATCCTGCCTTTCCTCCCAGCCCAAGGGAAGTGGAAGAGAATCACTATTTGGTTGAACCGGCTAAAAACAAGAACAATGGAGAAAATGTAAAAGGAGTAAGTGTGTACACATTTTTTAAAAAAAAGTGCAGATAAAAATAATGAAATTGTGAACCAACGATATAAAGCTACAAATACACGGCAAATTCTGTACAAGACCAACAAAAGCAAACCCAGTATTATACAGGAAGAATGAATTCATTTTTTTTTTTCAACTGAAGGATCCAGGGCACCCAAAGTGTGGTACTAACAAAACATGAATGATGAATTGGACGTGACCCAAGCACAGCACACTCAGATATGACATACCGTCAGAGAAATATTTAAATGCTCTGGCTCAACTTCCTCCCACTCTCCATCACTTTGCTCTGGTAGAGGACCAACAGTCTCGCTCAGTTCTGAGTTGGGTTCGGTTTCATCTAGGGGTCGTACCTGTGCTGCAGTCTCCACATATGACTGATCTGCTTCCACCATTTCCCATGTGTTTTCATTGTCAGTAGAGCTCCTTTCAGAGAGACGCCTTAAACGACCAGTGCCTTCTTCTGGGGAAGTGGCCAAACCGGGTTCTCTCATCCAAGCATGATACAGCTCCAGGTGCCCTCTTACACGAGACCTTGTACTATTGCTACAAAAGAGGCAGTTCAAGAGTGTCAAAAATCTAAAAAGATATTAAAACTGAGATTTGATTTCAAACCAACCCTGATATTTACTTTCGAGGCAGAAGAAGATAATGTTTCGATGGAATGCTACGCCCTTCCACTTCATATGGGATGTTTTGCAAGTTGAGTTCAACTAATCCAAGAAAGTCATCACGAGTTAATCGGTTTTCATCAAATACTTGAAGAAGCAGCTTGTGTTCAGCAGGTTTTACCTGTAAAAGCAAAAATTGAATTGGATTTAGTACAGTAAAGCAAGATTCAAAACTTGACATGAGTGAATATCTTACCCTGAACACCAATTCCTGATTCCACACAGGATTTAGAGTCTAAAACAGACATATGAAATTGTGCAAAGTTATTGGCTACTTAAAAGCAAGAGTATTAACACTTAAGATAAAAACATTACCTTTTTCTTAGTTTTAGTCAGAACTGAATCAATTGATGGGTCACCATTTCCACTGTTAGTGTTTAAGAGTTCTATTTTTACATATGGGTCACTACAATAAAAGAATAATGCATGAGGATAAGAGCTCCATTAACTTCAGTAAAAAATCTTAAATTGTAATTATGGAAAGGTCATCAAGGTACTTAAGAGTACTAACCTTGCACCAAAAATATCTTTTTTAGCTAAAGTGTGGCCTGCTACAACTTTCAAGCGAAGGCGACGAATAGACCCATCAGCCTAAAACATAATAAAAGAGTACAAAATACACATTGTTAAGTAAATGCAGAAGAATCAATGCATACCAAAACAATCTCATAAAATATTCTTTATCCATGTTGTGTAATACACATATGAACAAAAATCAATATCTAACCATAACAAAGTCAGAACTGTGAGAAACACCTGAAGAAAATCCTAGCCGTGTTAAAAACGGAAAAAAGATAACTGAGGCAAAGTTTGTGATGGAGATCCAAGTGTCAACATGATGGTGCTGAGGCAGCACTTGTGCGTGCGAATCACATGACGTCAACGGAATGAATGTCAAAAATGTTGCGAATGGAAGGCCGCCCCATTTGCGACGCCCTGAGGGCTGGGGTCTCGAAGGGAAAGGGCGAAACAGGGCAGAAACGCCTCCTTATCGGGTGGCCTTGTGGCTGAGACATGTCGCGAATCAAAAGGCAGGGCTAGACGGCTAGACCTAGACTAGGCTTCTACGTACCGTTCCCGCGGGCCCGTTCGCAGAAATGCACCCGAATTCGGGCGGGCCTGCCATTAAGAGTCTGCTGGCGGGCAGACTGTTTCTCCTGACCGAGACGGCCCGAGTGCCATGCATGTTGGACGCTAGAATGACATGTTACAACACTTTGATTGTGTTCTGCGTGTTTCGGGTGATTGTTAGCGAACACATTAGGCAGACGGCGCCGCCTTCTAGAGCTTCTAGTGAACGCATGAGGCTGATCGTGACAGGGGGCGGTGCGGCGCCGGGCCGTGGCGAGCCGCGGCCGAACCGAAGGTTGCGCTGCCAACCTGTGGCAACGAAAAGAGCAGTGGGCAACGGGAATAGGGCGAGCACCATGACAACCGGCTGGCAGAGACTTCACCCTCGGAAGGAAAGAGTGAACCACTGCCTTCGGGTGGAAGTCTCCGAAGCTGACAGGTTGTTCCTCTTTCCGGGGAAGGCCCGCTTTCTTGTTCCCGAGCAGGGCTCGGTTGGAGCGCCTGTTGGCGCCAAAGCCAAAGCACGCCATTCGCCATTCAAACCGGCTGTACTTCCCTGCTCGGAGAAAGTCTCGCTTTTCCTCTCGCCAGTGTCTCACCATTCAAAATAGTGCGGAGAAAACAAAAAATGGGGATACCGCTTTGACACTGAGACGCGGTTCGCGACGCGAGAACAGCGGCGTTATTCCACAGTGACGGGCTGACGCTGATGGCGCAACATGGCGCAATCACATCGAAGCTTCGAACAAAAACTACTTGGAAAACATTCAGACGCATGAAAGCAACGAATATAATTGACTGAAATAGTGCTGACGATTGCCGGTAGAGGCGGAGGGTGCTTCGCGGCGCTCTCCTCTCCGTCGATGGTCGGGGTGGGGGAGGAAATGAAGATTGGAAATCGTAAGGGCCGCAGCGTGGGGGGAGGAGTAGGGGAGGGGGAGGGGGAGGGGGAGGTCTGTACTACACCTTCCCGATGCTCGTGCAAGGTGCACCGCACCGGTTCGCTGGTTCGAGATGTCTGGAGGGAGATTCCCCCCCCCCTCTCTTCTCCCGGGGTCGGTTCCGGTGTAGCAGTGTAGCGCCCACTTAATTACCTCTCTGGATCTGCCCCCACCCCTCCGCCTCTCTCATTAATGACCTGCACAGCCACGGATAATTACCTAAGAGCAACTAACATGGTCATTTTCGCGCACAAGCACACTACTACTTAATTTAGCAGCGTCGTTAACAAATAGTTTGGGTCTCATTTCGTTACATTTTAGCATCCCCGGTTCTCTGCTCTTTTCTTGAGACCGCGAGGATTCAAGCCGCCTCGACTGTGTCCCCGTCATTCATGCACAAAAACCAGCAACCGCTTCTTTAATTTTAGTATAAAGCTTTTGACGATTTGCTTAACGTGACGTCACTTTCGGGCACGCGTTGTTCGTTCCGTTGCTCAAAAGGATCGAAGAAGTTTCGCCGTGTTACACGTCGCACGAATAATGCCCGCTCAAGAATTTTTGAATGACTTGAACTTTCTAAAACGGCGTGTGGGTCGAGCCCTTGGTCGAGCCCTACTCCGTGCACCGCCAGCGAGACCGCCACCCCTGCTGCAGTATGCTGCAGTGGCGTGGCTTCGGCTTCAGCCATGGCGTAGCCGGCGTAGCCTTGCATTGCAGGCGAGAAATGCACAAATTGCTGCCACACACACACACACACACACTCGCACATACACACACATGCACATGGAGAGAGAGAGAGAGAGAGAGAGAGAGAGAGAGAGAGAGAGAGAGAGAGAGAGAGAGATAGCGCCCGACGACGGAGGGATAGCCTGCTCCGCCACACAGAGCTGCGCGCGGGACGAAGGGTTGCCTACCCACGCGGCGCTCCCGGCCAAGAGCCCAGCGCACAGTGGGCCAGAAGACCGGTGGAGGCGGCCAAAACTCTAGACGCGTTTTGAGCTCCAGAGTCGCTAAACGGGTCTGGAACCGAACGTGTGACCCCACCAACGGATTGCTCTTCGAGTGACGGTGGGGAAAGGGTGGGCCAAGCCGAAACTCGAGTGACGCGAATGACTCTGTCGACGAGAGGGACGTTCCTCCCGGAACATCCTGGACCCGTCGATTCCACGGTGGATTCTTATCGAATTGACCGAACTCGCGCGCATTTACGCCTTTACGCCCACGCGGACCCACTAGACGCGCACACTTACACTCACACACACATTTCCCATTTGAGCGGGCGACGAGGCGGCGGCCTGTGGATGAGTTGAACAGCTGTCGGCCATCAGAAAAATGGCAGGTGGACTGGCGGCGGTGAATGGGGAAGATCGTCAAGTGGGAGGGAGAGAGAGAGAGAGAGAGAGAGAGAGAGAGAGAGAGAGAGAGAGAGAGAGAGAGAGAGAGAGAGAGAGAGAGAGAGGGAGGAGAGAGAGAGAGAGAGAGAGGAAGGGGGGGGGGGAGGGGGGCGCCTGGAGGACCTTGCATGGGACCGGACTCGACGGCCGGGAGGAGTTTAGTGCCGAAGCTTGTCGCGCGTCCATCCCACCAAAGTCCGAGTCGACTCCGATTTTCGTGAAACGACATCGCAGTCGGTGCGAAGCGCGGCAAGCGCGCAGCAAACAAAACCAGGCGACAACGACTTTTCGCTGCTGCGCTGCGGGGAGAGGGACGACACTGGTCCAGCCCGGTCCAGCCCACGCGCGCCGCGCGCCGCGCACCTGGACCACTACACTACTACGACGCGCTGGAAAGCGCGGGAAAGGCCCCCTCCCTCCCCGCCCCTCCCCCTCCCCCGGGCGCCTCTCCGCGCCTCTCCGCGCCGCGCGCGGCCAGGCTGCTGGCTTGCCTCTGGCTGCCGCTGGCTTGCCTAGTCGCGGCCCGCCAGCGACAGCGCACGGAGTACACGGAGTACACGGAGTCCGCCAGGCCGCGTCACGGAACCGACCGCGGAAGCAACCGCGGGCCAAGGCACGGTGTGACGCCACTGCAACGTCACGCCGTGACGAGGACGTGACGAGGACGTGACGCGTCACGCGATGTGAGTGACGCGACGGACCTTCTCCCCGTGACGGACACGTGACGGACGCGCCACGCAAAGGTAACGACCTCGGTCGGCAATAATGCACAAGTTGCCGACCAGCACTCCTGGCGATACCAAGTAACCAAAAAATAATTCGTAACAAATAAAAGAACAAAAAATAACAAACAATGCGACACGAGCGAACGAACGCCCGTGTTTATCTGGTGTGACAACGGTTGGTTAGCTGTCGCAAAAGCTTTGCGGTTCTGGGCAAAGCAAGATCTGTCGAGATTTGTATGAATTATTCGACAGCGTGTGGAGGCAACTGATAAATAAAAACATTATTTCAACTAAGATTTTTTAAGTTTTTTTTTTAAGTGGTGTTGGTAATTACTTGGAAAGGACACACTGCTTTCGATGACACCCGGGTCCATCCGTTGCCGCAGTACATTCAATTTGGTACACTTTTTTTGTACACTTGATAGAGCTGAAAATGAGCTGCATCATTTTTGAAATTTTCAGACAAGTACGAGTGATTAAAAACGGGCCTACGTGTGACATTGATGGTGAGACACCGCTCTGCCACCCGCCCTTCGACGCAAGTGGTCCGGACTATTTTTGGCTGGGGCTAACAAGCCCCCGAGATTGCCCGTACCATTGATATCGCAACTCAAAAAGCACTCTTTCGATCGCAAATAAATGATTGGCTGCTGATGAAAAGTCCGGACCGTAAAGTAGCGCTTGCTTGCTCCGCAGGTGCTGTGGGCCATGAGCGAGGAGTGAGTCGACGTCGCCGACGTCCAAGCCCGCCGCCATGGAGTTGGTGGTGATCCGGGGCGGTGGGGCCGGAGCCACTGGCGGACGAGGCCCCTCTGGGATCGGAGGTCCGCAAGGCCCTCCGGCAGGCCCTCCAGCAGGCCCTCAGGGAAGTCCTCAAGGCCCTCAAGGAGCCGCCCCCGGAGGCCCGCACCCCGTCGGCCCGCACCCCGTCGGCCCGCACCCTGGGCCGCACGGCTGCCCCGTCGACGGCGTGGGTCCCGCGCCGGCCTCCCCGGCCAGCATGTCCGCGGCCCAGCAGCTCGACGACGGCTACGGATCGTCCAACAGCTCGCCGCACAGCTCCGGTGAGTGGCGAAGACATCAATGGACGCGTTAGTGAAGCCCGGGCGACTCGGCGCTGCAGCAGAGCGGACTTACAACAAGTTGGAAGTTGCTCGCTCAGTGGGCCGGATGACTGGTGGAGGCGGCCCAAATTTTGAGCTCCAGAGTCGCTAAATGGGACTCGAACCGAACGTGTGACCCCACCAATGGCTTGCTCTCCGAACGAGGAATCCATTGATGGGGTCACACGCTTGGTTCGAGTCCTGTTTAGCGACTCTAGAGCTCAAAACGCGTCTAGAATTGTGGCCGCCTCCACCGGTCCTCTGGCTCACTGTGAGTTGGTAGACATCGGCGAAATTTTATCGAGAATCATTTAGTACTTGCCCTGAGAAGGGAAGGCGTTGTGCTGGGCGTTGCTGGGCGTTGCTGGGCCTAGTCGAGGGTTGCTGAGGTACTTTGGGGGCGGTAGGTAGGTAGTCTGCGGTGAGGCAGGGGGGCGCAGGGGGGCAAGGGGGAGGGGGCTCATATTGGTTAACCCCACCTCCTTCGCTTCCATTCTTCACGGCCTTATGGCATTCCTGGCCTCCCCACCCCCTTTCTATCCCAATTCCCGCCCCAGTCGCACCACTATGCCCCGCTACTCGGAACGGAAAAAAAAGAAAGGAAGAAAAAAACGGGGCGGCTCGCGACGACAATAGCAGTCTAGCGTGCGCGGTCAAACCTCTCACTTCATTTCGACCGTTTATTCCGACGGACTCACGTAGTCGGGGAAGGGTGCATTGAAGGGACGGGTCGGGCGTCGCATTGCCATGGCATTG